AGCAGAGTCCCTCATCACAATGGACCCAGAGTCCAACCGCCTGTCACCTCACTGGGACCTGCCCCCACCTTGCCCTTTACTAAAGTTCCTCCTCCATGCGGTGGCCAGGGATATAGTGAGGCTCTGCTTAGATCTTGCTGGACCCTCGAGGCCCTCTCTGATCTGCTCCCCCCCTTGCTCCATGGGCTTCAGACACAGCCTCCCCCTGCCCCTCCACCTGCCAGGCTCCCTTCTGCCTCAGGGCCTTTGCATGGGCTGTTCCCTTTGCCTGGATTGCTATCCCTCCATTTAAGCTCATCATTCACTCATTCCCTGCCTTCAAGTCTTGTGCTCAAATGTCACTGCTCTGGATGGACTGAGTGTGTGTGTCCCCCAAAACTCATATGTCAAAGCCCTAACCCCCAGTGCTATGACATTGCCTTTATAGGAAGATGCCAGAAAGTTCTCAAGCTCCCCCTGCCCCCACTCTTTCTTCCTCTCTGTCTCTGTCATGTGAGGACACAGTGAGAAGGGGCTGTGTGCAAGCCAGGAAGACAGCCCTCCCCAGAACCCGACCTGCTGGTTCCATGATCTTGGACTTCCAGTCTCCAGTGCTGTGGGAAAGAAATGTTGATTGTCTGTGGTCCTTTGTGATGGCAGCTGGATGGACTAAATCAGTCACCTCCCCAAACCCACGCTGGCGGCTCTATTTACTGCCACAGCCTACCCCCTATGTCCTCCCCACCCCTCCCCACTCTGTTCTTTCTTCCACAGAACTTCTAACGAGTGATTTACTTGGGTTTCCACATTTACAATTTATTCCTATTGGCCTGCCAGAACATGGCTCTCCAGCTGTTTCGTTTGCTGATATTCTCAAAGAGCTCAAACAGTGCCCGGCACATGGAAGGTGTCTAATAAGTGCTGTGGACTGAATAGCTAGCATTTATTGCGTGCCCACTGTGTGTGGGGCCCTGTGTGCAGTTTCCCCAGCCCTCCACCTGCCACTTTCTAAGTGTTGTGAACACTGAGGTTCAGGGGTGTGTCAGTCAGCCACTGCCACACACACCAGGCCACCAGACCATGCCCACTGCACATAAGGCTGTGTCTTCCCAGATCACACCCACTGGCCAATGTCACCAGCCTGGAGGGGGCAGGGCCAGGCTCAGGACACACCATGGGAAAAAACAAGGGAACCTCAGAAGGGACAGACATACAGTTTCCCAAAGGCCGATGTCACTAGCCTGCAGACCACGTGCTGTTTACACAGGCAGTCAGTGCAGTGGCCGCCCAATTAGTACCCACCCAGGGTAGGAGTCTAACAAGCTTATGGGGTCTCGTGCTCGCCGTCTTCTTGTCCCTGCCAAATGCTGTTCTCAGCACTACTGATGGGCCCATTTCCTAGATAAGGACACCGAGGCACGGGTGAATCAGGTGGCTTGGTCAGCCAGCCAGGGCTAAATTGCTGCTTGGATGTTACGCCACACATATCCCTAAGCCCCTCAGGAAGCCAACAGGACTTCCAGGGACTTCTTCCAGGGGAGCTGGTAGCATGCTCTCCATGGGACCTCCTCGAGGTAGAACTACTGCTCTGTGCAGCGCCCAAAGGATGAAGGTCAGTGAACCACTACGAACAGGAACAGGGGACAGACAGGAGGGTCCGGGATAGGCCAGGTGGGCAGCCCTGCAGGGCTTAGGGCCAGCTCCCTCCTCCTCTTACAAGCCAATCATACTGCCCACCTCAAGAGCAGCACAGTACAATCTCTGTCCCGTATGCCTTGTGCACCCCTGCTGGGATGATAGGGGTTGGGATGCCCAGGATCAAACCCTGGAGGTGGGCACTTCTGCAGAGAGGCTGGATGGGGCAGCAGCTGGCAGGGAGGTTCCCCCCCAACACTTATGGGACCTCTTTGCTGCCTGGCAAAGGGCCGGCAGAGGGCTGTGGTTTTAACACGCAGACTGAACCATCCACAGCAGGGCTCTCAGTCTTCCAGCTCATAAGAATCTCCTTGTTTTTATCCACACAGGAAACGCCCACCTTCCTCCAGCCCTCAAACCCGCCAGCCACTGCCGCCCGGTCACAGACCACACCCACTGTACACAGGGCCACGCCCATAGCTCGCAAAGGTCACGCCCTGTAAGCCCCCACCATGCCACGCCCACTGCAAGCAGGATCACGCCCACCGCTCAAAAAAGCCACGCCCAAGGCTCGCAAAGGCCACGCCCCCAGACTCCGGCCACGTCTGCCCCGGCCACGCCCACAGCGGAACGCAGCCCCTCCTTACCCTGGTGAATTCCTCCCCACCCTCCCAGACCCAGCAGGGCCTCCTCCACTGGGATGGGTGGTGGCCTCCCAAAGCCCCCTTGGCCTCTGTGACCCCACCACACCGATAGGCTCTGGATCTGGATCTGCACGTCCCCATCCCCACTGGACAGGTCCAGGAAGGCCGGCGAGCCAGGCTGGGCAGCGACACCCACCCAGAACCTGCTGCTGGGTGGTGAATGGTGGCACCCTGCAGAAAGCCCTGCCATGGCGCCCGCCAACCCCTGCACCGAGTCTAGACTCCCGCGGGCTCCAGGCCCTGCCCCCGCGAGGCTCACCTGAGCGGGGGTCTCCCCCAGGGTCGCCCAGACTCTCAGGACCCAGGCTCGCTTCCCGTAGCTGCATCCCTGGCTAGAGTCCCCCAGGCCGGCGGCAGGGCTGCCTGGTCCCTGCTCCGCCTGCACGCCGCCCTCCCAGGAGGAGGACCCCTTCTCAGCGTCCAACGGCAGCCGGCCACTGGCAGCCTGGTGGGGAGGAGGCTTCTGGGGGCCCCCGGGCTGGAAAGGGTCCCACACGCAGGGCAGGGCAGAGGCGCTGGAGAGGGACAGAAGCTCCCTTGTCCTCAGCTGTTCACCCAGCCCGGCCCCTCTTTTCCTTGGCTCGAAGGAGGAAAACGTCAGGAGGACCGGAGCTGGGCCGCCTCTGTGGGCGCCTTTCCAGACGCTGGGTCCAGCCCTGCCCCCACCTGCTGTTGGGGTCCCAGAAAGTGGCCATGCTGGGTCAGGGCCCAGGGAAAGGGTGGGGTGAGCAGGAGCTCTTGGCAGAGCTACCCAACCTCAGAAAACCCTGGCTGGGCAGATACCAGCCTGTACATCCTGGGACAGGATGGGGGAGGGGGAGCCACACTCCATCCCATCCCCCACTCACACGCCTCCACGGGCCACAGCACCCCATGCACAACCTGCCTGAGGTGTCCCAGGACGGCCATCCACAAACATCACGGCAGAGAACCCTGAGACACACCGCAGTGGGGCATGGTCTGGTGGCCGGGTTTCCTGGCCTGGTTCTCGGCAGGGGTCTTGGGCAGCACGCATCCCTTCCGGGGGGCTGGGGCAAGTGGGACACAGCCATGTGGGGGTTGCGGTTCAATTCCTGGCCAACTCAAGAGCCATGCGGCGGGGCCACACAGGTGAGGACAACTGACTCCCCCTAGGCTGCCCAGGGCCCGCCCTCACCCAGTAGCCGCCTCAGCCCTGTGCATGCCACCCTTCGCCTCACCCCCTCCGCCATTTATTAATCTATTTGCTTTGCGGGGAACATTCTGTCCTTGCGAGTACAGCATTGCTGACCTGCATGGGGTGACCAGCGGCCCGTGAATGAGGTCATCATAGCAGCCTGGGCCTGGCCCCAGACCTCGCCTGATTAGTATCTCTTGCACACAGGCTCCCGGAGCCAGCCTGGCTCTTTGACAGACTCAGCCCCTCCCTCCCACTGTGGTTCGGAGGGAAACTCTCCCCTACTGAGTGCTAAGGGAGCGGGGTGGGGGTGGGGTGGGGGGTGGAGACCCTGTAGCAGCTGGGGGCA